TATGAACATATATACACTCACTGTTAGGCAGACTCATATAATGTGTTTACTTAATTGATTTATATAACTAAATGGTGAATATCCCTCTGTATATTCCTTTTCTAAAGTGTCATTTTATGTTATAAATAACTTCATTCGAGAACCAATATCTTAGTTTCTATATGCAGTCTTTTCAGAGCAAATATAATTGGATGGTTCTCTATATAAACATTACAAAAATGTTAGAAATTTTGAATTGTAATATATAATTATACATTTTGAAAGTTTGATAGAGTGAAAGAAATTTTTTTGAAGTATAAAATTTTAGATTTAAAAATTAGTGTGTTAATTAAGTTTTTGGTCCTTTTTTTGTTATTAGAAAAGTCTTATTAAATGCGATTATTAAAATGCTAGAAAATAAATAGAAGTGTTTCTACGTTCCAAAAGAAAAGAAAAATAGCTATTCTTCTTATTGCAAAATGTTTATATATGTAGCATTTGAATATCCTGGACATCAATTATGTGGAAAAAATACATAAAGAAAGAAAAATATATAGGAAAACAAACTGGATCTTCCAAATGTATAGTTGGGGAAAAGATAAGTAACTAGTTGTAGACGTAGATTCTGGAATTCTTATAATATTATTGGCTGCTATGTTTTTTGGTAGTTAGTACTTTGCAATTTCAGTAATTACAGTGACCAAAGCAGAACATATTTTAAGACATTGATTTTTGTGAACTATTTAGATTACATACTTGAAACATTGGTCATACTTATACATAGTTTATATATATATACATGATCACGTTATTTTTTCTGTTCCACTTTTGATGTAGACCAGTGTTTCATTATAGACATTGGCAAATTATTTATGATTTGGCAGAGAGAATCTGAAAATGTCACTATAGTCATCCTTATAACTTCTTTTCCTTCCAAATTTATTAGTAGTCACTTCATTTGATTTAAACTTCAGCTACATTTCTTCCTTTCTTCCTACTCTTTTGAAAGTGAAATTGTTCACGTTTGTCTACTCATACTTTTTTCTCTTGAACTTAGGCCATTAGTTTCTTTAGTAGGTTTTATAACATCATCTTTAAGATAGTTATGTATTAGTATATTGCTTCTTAGCACTGCTATTTTTAGGGTGTTTTTTTTTCTATAAAATTTCTTTCATTATAAGATTCTATCTTGCTACCTCTTAAAGAAACCAGAATATTTTCTTTTCTGACTTCACTTTCCTAAATTTGTACCCATCTCTCCAATATAAATATATGTCCTTACTTTAAAAAATGAGGCCACAGTCCTAATGATTTGATAATATGGTGATTAATTATGTGTTCAAAATTAAAAGACATGATTCTAGTTCTTCTTTCCTTTTTTTTTTTTTGTGAGGAAGCTCAGCCCTGAGCTAACATCCATGCCAATCCTTCCTCTTTTTGCTGAAGAAGACTGGCCCTGGGCTAACATCCGTGCCCATCTTCCTCTGTTTTATGCGGGATGCCGCCACAGCATGGCCTGACAAGCGGTGCGTCGGTGGGCGGCCAGGATCCGAACCCGGGCCACCAGCAGTGGAGCACGTGCACTTAACCGCTACGCCACTGGGCCAGCCTCTAGTTCTTATTTCTTAAAGGTCTCTAAAAAAATTCTGCTACTTTTTTGTTTGTTACTTTAGAGGTAGATTACTTCTGGGTGATAGTATTTAAAATGAAATAAAATTTCAATTAAATATTTTATTATATATAGATAAACTATTTTAAAAGGGAACATCTTTGTTGTCTTATCAGAGTCCTGAATTTGCAGATCTGTCCGTTAAAACTGTGTACTCAGTTTAGGATTGCCTCTTTGGATTTGACATTAGAAGCTTTTACCCGTTACTTGGAGAGTCAGCACGATGATAGATTTCCTCTCTCCTTGTCCCCATTAAGGTAGGCAGTTAGCTTTCAATCTGAGGATTTCTTGCTGAAGCTGCTAAATTCCTCAGAAACCCAAATCCTGATGGATACGCTTTTGGTATCTGTGATGTCTGCTCTGTATCTTAGAGCTGAATGGGTAGTGACCCACTTCACCGCTTCATATTAGATTGAGTTCATATGAACAAATTCCCAATGTACTAGGCCCCAGGCATGCTTCCCATCCCCTGGACTTCAGATTCACCAATCATATCTTCCAGTATTTTAAGGAATAGAAAATTTAATTAGGCATATTTGAGAAGCACTTCATTTTTCATCTTCTTGAAATTTTGGCAATAGTATCAAACTTACGTTTTCATCTTCTTGCAGTTTTGGTTATAGTAATTTCAAAATTGTTAACATCAAAACATAAATATGTACAAAAGCATATTTGCCAGTGTTCTGTATTAGTTAATGGATGTCCCATTTCACAATTTTATTATCATTATTATTGTTTGCATACTTCGTGAATTTTCCACTTGAAGGGGTTCATTTATGAGAAAAGCCTTCATTTTTCTCTGTCCCTCCTTTATGAAAAGTCATACTTCTTAACTGTCATATTTGTCAAAGAATTGAGTGTAATGGAATTGATTCTTGCCCTGGTAGGTATATAACACTCATTTAATCCCTTAACTTCCATCATCTCAATTTTTTATTTTCCCTGTTGTAATTTAACTGTTACATCTTCATATTGAATACTTTATTTAAGAGTGTCTTTACGTTTATAACTTTATATCTTTCTATGTGAAGTTTCTTGGCCAGTTACTTTGAATTCTTTGTCTTCTACAAATGTCATCATTAGTTTTCTTCACTTTGAATTCCTTACGTTGCTATATAGCTATGATGTTTGTTCAAAAAGTGCTTTGAGATTTTAGTATTAAAAAATACATTGGAGCCTCTGTGTCACATAATTTGTTAATGACTGGAATTCTGTTTAAGGTAAGCTGTGCTAGACTTCATCCAGGAACATTAAAAGTTCTCTTACAATATGTCTGTATACCAGTTGTAGCTATGTGAGTATTTAAAGAATTGTATGTTTCTTGTTATACTGTGTGAAGCAGAGTAGTCATTGAGAAAGAACTTAGGATTAGAAATTTAGAAGCAAGCTTTTAACTGTTTTTATGCCTCAGTTTCGTCATCTTTAGGGAGTTATTTCTTGATTATCCATGATTATGGAAGATATTTGTAACTCCATCTCTGTATTACTACTTGTTTTAGGAATATATCGTATGATTTTTTTTGTACCATAATTATGATGATAATTGTTTTTCTTGGGTTTAACTTTTAAGTTAGTTCATATTTCTCTGAGCTTGCACCAAATGTCAGTGGAGATTGTTGACCTACCAAGAAGCCTCTTAGTTTGCAGGGAAAAACCAGCTTTTATCAATCTTTTATGAGCTTTAAATTAATTAAAAACGTTAACTTTAGCATTAAACACTGGTTGTGGATAAATCTGAGAGTGACTAATTGATGTGCAAGCAATTGAAAGTTGATTATACATGCATATGCCTATTGTCAGATATTTTGTAGAAAAATGTGATAATGTTTATGAAGGACTTGAATATTCTGAAAAAGTTTCCTTATAAAATTAAATTTTGATGCTGCCATTGCAATATTTGTATGTCACCTACTCATCATTTTTCAGTTGAGTGTTCATCTGATTATTCTAGGTGCTTTTACATTGTGCTTGTTTTCTTAAAACATGTTGAAATATAATTTAAAAAACCACACAAAATATATCAAGTAATTCCCTAGTTAAACCACATTTCTCTCAGAGGATATTAATCCAGTTTATTGAACACAAATATAAAGTATTTTACCTGACAAGAAAACAAGGTAAGGTAGTTGGTGAAGGAATAAGTTAGAATCATTGATTTATTTGCCTTATTCAGATGAGTTAAAATTGCTCTATATTAATGTATTATGAACACAGTACTTTTTTTTTTTTTTGTGAGGAAGATGAGCCCTGAACTAATATCCGTGCTAATCCTCCTCTTTTTGCTGAGGAAGACTGGCTCTGAGCTAACATCTATTGCCAGTCCTCCTCCTTTTTTTTTCCCCAAAGCCCCAGTAGATAGTTGTATGTCATAGTTGCACATCCTTCTAGTTGCGGTATGTGGGACGCAGCCTCAGCATGGCTGGAGAAGCAGTGCATCGGTGCGGGCCTGGGATCTGAACCTGGGCCGCCAGTAGCGGAGCGCGCGCAATTAACCGCTAAGCCACGGGGCCGGCCCCTGAACACAGTATTTGAATGCATTTGCGGAGTACGGAATTTACTATAAACAAGCTTCCAAGTCATAGTGGTTGTTTTAATAGTAGTCTAAAAATTTTGATTCTGAATTAAAATCACGAAAATAAAGCATTCTAGTTTAAAGTTTAAAGAGTTAAAAAGCTTTTTTTTAACTTGTTCATCAAAGACCTATTTTGCTTAAGCTTTTATCAATCTTTTATGAGCTTTAAATTAATTAAAAATGTTAACTTTTTTCTTAGTTTGTGGTATCTTCTTTTTATCACATACCTAGATAATTACTGATAATTCAAAATGCCTTGCACACTGTTGATGTTTAACTATATGTTATGGAAATAGTTAAATTACAATCAACTCTTGATTTTATACCAATGGTAAGAGAAATATAATGGATATAGTGAAAAACAGCCACATCTGTTTTAATTTTAGATTCCATATGAAAATGTTCACGATGGATTTACTTTCATCAATATATTTATATAAGAAAAATATCAAATTGTGAAATGTTTGAGCATTGTGAGCTAAGTGAAACTGATGAAGGTGGTGTAGAAACATACTGGGATGCCAGAGAAAACTAAACTGGGATTAAAAGTTTTTTGTTAATAAAGTGTTTATATTATGGAGAGTTGACTGTAATGAGATTACCTTTGATGAATGAGTTTGATATTTCATAAGGTTTATTTAATGTATTTTATATACTTCTCCTTAATTGAAAAATTATGGTGTTTAGCTCTAAGTAACAGTTTTAAAATGTAATTAGGAAATAATAAATTGTGTCCTTCTTTATTTTTCTTTCATTGTCTTTTTCTCTTTTTTTTTTTAGGGTATGAGTATTATAGAACAATTAGACCCTGTATCTTTTAGCAATTACTTGAAGAAGTATCATAATACTATATGTGGAAGACATCCCATTGGGGTGTTATTAAATGTGAGTATCCTTGGGAAGCCTTGATTTTTAACATGTGATCCTGTGATGTTTCAAAATATCTTAATTGTTAGCCTCTGTGATACCTTATTACCATTAGTTTTAGGTACATATAGTCAATTTTCTTTCTAGTACCTTTAAGATAATTTGGATTTCCATTGTTTTGGTTACTTGAATAAAGTTATTTATCACTGGAAGACAGGCCCAATACTTTCTTTTAAATACAGAAAGTTATTTGGAATAGAAACCCATATTTTCTCTTGACTCTCAACCATGTCCAATATGCTCTTTACAAATATAAACAAAAGTAACCTTTCAAGCTAGAAGATTTTATTGATTTTTTGGTTTTATTTAGTGTTCTAGATGCTATAAAAAATAAATGGAGGGCCGGCCCCGTGGCTTAGCGGTTAAGTGCGCGCGCTCCGCTGCTGGCGGCCCGGGTTCGGATCCCGGGCGCGCACCGACGCACCGCTTCTCCGGCCATGCTGAGGCCGCGTCCCACATATAGCAACTAGAAGGTTGTGCAGCTATGACATACAACTATCTGCTGGGGCTTTGGGGGGAAAAATAAATAAAAATAAAATCTTTAAAAAAAAAAAAAATAAAATAAATAAATGGAGTATTCTTCTCTTGAACTTTAGATATTCATAATTTAATAAAGCAAGACAGATGACATGTATGTGTTTTTCTCTTTACAACAAAAACAATATTTATTTAAAGAATTCTAAGAGGTAGAAGTTTTGGTTAGCTGGATTTTCAAAAGAGATAATAACATTAATTTTTCCCCAATAAATAAAACAGTATGGGTTTTCTGAAAGAAAATACGAGACTCTTTAAGAAAGAAGAAAGTATATACTCAGGAATGGGAGGAGGAAGTAATAATGGGCTTATTGTTTAGAAAGGCAGAGAAATAATGGAGAAGGTAATGTAGTCTAGAATGATCTAGGGTAGGAACTTGAAGTCCGATGTGATTTTGATGTGATTTGAAAGATAGTACGTTATGGATTTTTAGGAAGGGTTTTCTCTTAAACGGTATTGATTGGTTGGAAGAAAAGCCTGTGAAGGGCTTAAACAGATTTCTGAAATTTAAACCAGAATAAGCTATACTAATTTCCTGAAGTCTGAATTGGACAAAATAAAATTTTAATAAAATAAATGATAAACCAATCTACAATTAAAGTAAAAATCCCACTATACCTCTTAGATCTGGAACTTAATTTATATACTTTTCAAATTTGGTCCAAGTCCGACAAAGACAAGACTCCAACATTTCAAGACAGAAGTGGCCACAATTTGGTTTAGAGAATAGAGAGAAAGGTACTATGTTGTTGTTTTTTAAAGTCACCTTGTTAAATACAGGGAGCGGTAGGGTGGAAGATGACTAATATTTCTCCAGAAGCTAGATAAGGAGAAGTTCTTTGAGAGAATGAAATAAGGAATTCTCTCTTTTTCCTATTTAATATGAGGCGATGAGAAATTCAAGAAACAAATGAAGAGTAGAGTGAAAGAGAGAGCTTGGCTTCAGCTGTGAAGTCACAAAGTTAAGTTCATTCAAAGAGTGCTCATTTTTTAATATGATGTCTGTCATAACCAAGTTTTTCTTTTTCTAGGCTATCACAGAGCTCCAGAAGAATGGAATGAATATGAGCTTTTCCTTTTTGAATTATGCCCAGTCAAGCCAGTGTAGAAACTGGCAAGACAGTTCAGTGAGTTATGCAGCTGGAGCACTCACAGTCCACTGAAGCTCTGAATCCTCAGGGATGCCGCCTGCACATACTCATATTCTATCCGGGGTCCCAGCCTAGCCCTTACCAAGATACCGGTCCTGGTTTGGGGCGATTCTGAAACCTCAAACTAATAGAACTTTCTTCTCTTCTTTTCTAGTAGGTGTAGTCCTTCCTTAATTTCAACTCATTAAAAAATGCTTTATAGTTTAGGGCAGTGAAAGGAAGGCTGGCATCAAAATATATTGATCAAAAAAGATGGCAACGTAAGGCCCAGTTGTGGCAGATAGTTTTTTGAAAGTAACTTGTAAAGCATTTACCATATCCTAAATTTGCACTCTTTGCAGACTTGTGCACATATATTCCGCTTTCAGAATAGTTTTGCAAATTGTACACGAACAAACAAAAAAGGGTGGAAGCTTTTTAATAAAGAAATTGCATTTATAAATGATCTGTATTAGAATATGATAAATCTCCAGTTACAGTCAATTACTACCCGTGTTGTACAACAGATACCTTCTATTTTAGTTGCTAATAAAGGGCTACACAACTCAAAATAGTCTGATTTAAACTTATTGCTCTGTGGTACATATGAAAATTGTTTTTTATTAATTCCATTTCAGAATTTTATGTTAAAAGTGGTAAACTTCAGCTTTTATTTAAAAATATGTTAGGATGTATTTTTATATTTTACATATTTATGTGATTTTTTTATCACAGATATTAGAATTGTATTTTAAAGTCAGCTTTTAAAATTACATACAGTTTGCTTTTTTGTGTGTGACATCACTTTGTGTCATTACTACATTGTAATGGAATATAAATTCAAGATTGGTAAAAGAGTATAGATGTAGTCCTTTACTTCAAAGATCGTGTTTGAAGGCAGTAGTCTGCAGTGAGGAAACGTTGAAGAGTGTTCCTAGTGTTTTCACGTCATTGCAGACCATACACTGCTGCTGTGCTTTTTTAGTGCTTTAAGTGATGTGATTCTCTTACTTGAAGTTTTAGCAGGAAATCATTAACAATAACAGCAACAACAACAAAAACCACTAGATTTTCTTATAGTTCTACAATTTTTTTTGTTATGATTTTTGGTGCGGCTCTTCCAACTAAAATAATGGTATGGTGTTGTATTTCTTTCGTTAGCATAGACCAATTCTAGTCACTTTGGCAAAAAAAGAAAGGAAAAGTAATTCAGTTAGTTAATTACTGGCTACCATGCATGTACTAGATTGTGTCTGTTTTAATCTAACACCAGGTATCTACATTACATTGGAGAGCATTTATATCTTCAGTGTTATGGCAGAATAGTACAATTTTTAGATGCCTTGCACCAATTTTATTTACAGATTTGCATTTCAGATATCAACTTTCTATACTCGAATTGAGATAAACTAATGTTATCTTTTGGATTCAAAATTACCCACCTATACATGTGTGGAAATTATACTCTTACATATTAGTGATTTATTTTCCATTATTTAGATATACTTTTGAGTACTATAAATATTTATTCCTTATTTATTATAAAGCCTATAGAAATTTCAAAATTGACTACAGAGTAAATTTGTAATGTTTTCTGAATATAAAATTAATATATGATTATTATATAAAATTTAGAAAATATTGAAAAATATAAAGAAGAGAAAAAAATTATCCACAATCTCACTATACAGAGATAACACTGTTAATATTTTTTGTATTTCCTTTCAGTCTTTGTCTATGCTATTTATATGTATGAGTGTGTATATATGTTTGGGTGTGTGTGTAATAACAAAATTGAGATTATACTGACCATATAGTTGTATACTCTACTTTTTATAACTTAACATCATATCATAAATACTTCCCTATGTCATTGAAAATGTGATTTTTTTTAAATGGCTGCCTAATATTCTGTTGTATGAATATACCATAATTGAACCAGTTCTCTCTTTGGATATTAGATTGTTTCTAATATTTCACAATTATAAATAATAGTGAGATGGACATTTGTATGTGAAATTTGAACTCTATATTAGACTAATTCTTTAGGATATATTCATGGGAATGGGATAATTTGTTTAGATAGAACATTTTAAGGCTCTTTAAAATATGGCCAAATTACCCTTCAGAAAGATTGTACCAAATTAGCAATATATGAGTACCCATCATACTGCCCCTTTTCCTCTATTGATCATTATTTTTTCTAATCTTTGATAGTTTATTAAGCAAATAATTGGTTGTTCGTTTGATCATTCTAATAAGAGTGGCTTCACAATGAATTATTTTTTTAATCTGTAATTTTATAGTTGATTGATTAATAAAAAACACAAGAGGGTTGCTTAGGTTGAATGGGCTATAACTCTATGAGTATGTTTACCGTACATTTAAAACTCAAGAATATTTCAGCATCACTCCACCTTTTCCTAGAATATGAGCATATCTTTCAAACTCAGTCATAAAGTAGAAAGAGTTCCAAACTGATAGTTGAGTGTTGGGTTTTAGTTCTGCCTCTGGCACTAATTAGTTCCCTCACCATAAATATTTCATGTTGTCTCGAAACTTTCTCATCTGTAAAATGTGGAGGTGATCTGTCTCTTAAGCACTTTCCAGTTTCAAAGTACTTTAATGTTGTGACTTTACTCTTTAGAGATTCTGGTGTCACTTACTTATGTTAAAAAGATAAGTGATTGAATTAGATTATAAGTATTATCTTTTGATTTCAACTCTACAGATATGAAAATGAAAGTTTCTTTAATACAAAAGGGAAATTAATTTGCATTATTTAATGCTGTTAATATTACCTAAATTGTTGAACTTAAACTTTCCTACTTTAAGTGCCTTTAAAAGTGTTTTGTATTTGAAATCTAAAATGTAAAGGAAATTACTATGTAGTTCTATACAGTTTCTTCTTTATTAAATACTTTTGAGTTATTTGCAGCAACTTTCTTTTTAACCTTAGATTGCACAGAGCAGTACATTCATGAATTATTCATTATTCCACTAGTAAATATTTGAGAAATGTATGTTAAAGATTAGCTTAGTGAGCAGGTAAGTAAAGGCTCTGTCTTGGGTGGGTAACAGATCTTTATAGAGAGCAGGTTTATTCTGGACTATTCAGATATTCCAGTGTTTATATTTAGATATTCCAATATGGATGGTAGGTGTCCTGAATTAGTTAATTGTTATTGTTGCAGATCTCAAATTTTTCTTTGGTGGCAAATAGTTCATTACCCTAGATTAGAGGTTGGTAAATGTTTTGTGTAAAGGGCCAGATAGTAAATATATTGGGTTATGCAGGCCATGTGGTCTCTGTCCCAACTGTTCACCTTTGCCATTGTAGCACAAAAGCAGCCGTAGACAATGTGTAAACGAGTGAGTATGGCTGTGCTTCACTCAAACTTTATTTGCACAAAAAGATGGTGACCTGGGTTTGGTCCAGAGGCTGTAGTTGGCTGTGCCCTGTCCTAGGTGCTGTAGTTCACTTGTAGTTCATATTATTGGCTGGTAATTTAAACTACAACAAACAGTTGTAAGTTTCTACCATCCCAGCCCTATCTTAATTTGATGTAGTCTAGTTGGCTGCGTTTGAGTGTTATTTAGGATTATAAAGGTAAGTGGGAAGTGGGTAAGGGAAACGGAGAACTCTTAGGAACTAGTGTTAAAGCACTTTGAAGCCCTTTTATGTGCTGGAGCCCATTGAGAGGTTTGCTTTGCTGCCATAAATTATTCAAAAGAGTGATGAGTGGAGGTTGTTATTGGTTGTTGCAAATTATATAAATTATTCTAAGCACTTGGCTACCTAGATGATAGTAGAGGATGGATCAGATGAACCTTTTTACCTGAGTATTCTAGGACACTAGACCAATAATTTAAGATTGTGAAACGTGAGACTTCATTTTGCCAAGTAAAGACGTTAAGAAAAATAACTACCATCTTCCATCACCATCACTTTATTTACCCCTGCCTCCTAATATTTAGGAAGGACATAAACTCAGAATAAAAGAGAGTTATTTAATTTGAGTAACTTTAAGTTGATGGAAAAATGACTACATTGTTCTTTTCTCATTTTCTCTGGGTCACTGAAAACTTCGTCAAGGAGTAGTATCAGTCCATAGACTGGCAGTTGGGAAGTGTTGTACAGTTGCTGAAAGCCCTAAGGTAGTTATAAAACTATTATTGATTAGAAGATGATATTCTGATATTCAGACTAAAACTTATTAAATTGTAAGTGCCACATATTAAGAGGGACATTATGAGCTAGAGTGTTCATAGGGAGCCAACCAGAATGATGAAAGGCGTGAGTGCTGTGGACCGTGGGATGTAGTCAGAGAAATTTGTGATATTTATTTTGGAGAAGATAAGTTTAAAGAGAGGGTATTTTCTTCAATATTTGAGTGACTTCCATGTATAAGAAGGAATAGAATTGTTCTGTGTTTTTCTAGATGGAAAAATTAATTGTAAGAAATGGAAGTTTCTGGTTCTACATTTAATATTCTTTATGAGAATTACTAAATGAAAACTGGCTGTGTCTGCATAAAATCATTGGAAGTATTCAAACAAAAGCTAGATCAGTGGTTCTCAAAGTAAGATCCCTATACTATCAGCATCAGCATCACCTGGGTATATTATTGTTGTAGAACTAAAATTATGGCTCACTGAGCTCAAAAAAAGCTAATGGAATTAGTACAAATAAAATGGAACTTATTTCATTTGTATAGAACTATTAAGGGAAATCATTTTTAAATAAAATTGATTTTGGTCATTTAACACTAACTTTCAACACAGATTATAAATTGTTAAGATGATTGTTACTTAATTGTTAGTGGTGGAACACTGGACCCTTAGAATAATTAATATACTTTTTTTGTTTTAGTTAAAATTTATGAATATAAGGTAAAGTTCTACCATTTACTAAACTAAATTTAAGTTGGTGTTTGAATTAGTGACTTAGCTTTCTTAAACAGAGGTGCTTCTTGAATCTAAAACAGAGCCACATCAGTAGCAGAAAAGGGTATTGAGGGAGCTTGCTCTTTTTATACCTGTTAATATCAAAATATTAGCAGGGGAACCAGGAGCAGCTGGCCGATAAGTTTTCTCTGCCTCCTTTCTTTTCTCCTACCCTGTAAATACAACCGAGTGGTATGTCACACTATCATCATTGACCGTGCTATACATTTGGTAAAAGTACACTCAAGTAATGCTGGTAACTGGGACCTCTGCCTTTTTAAAGTCACTGTTGTGGATGGATTTTGTTTGCCTATCGTGAGTTCATTGATATATTCTGCTTGTTGGGTGCTATGTAAAGAACTTTAGAGTTTTAAATTTGTCATTTATTCAAGGGTTCTCCAGTGATCCCAAAGTGGTTTGTACCCAGGATGTATCACATTTACTGTGTGTATGTATTTAATTCTAATAGAGCAAGGTTTTGGTCATCGCCCTATAAAAATAATGGAAAAAAGTTTAAAAGCAAGTTCTCTTGATTTTGAAAACCATAATGTAATGCAATTGGTCTTTGCATAAATTGTAAATTATGTTCAAATGCATATTTCATACTGTAAAGTGAAGTTTGTAACTTCACTAGATGTC